ATGGTTCATTAATTTGGAAAAAGACTATTAGCAAGCCAGCCAAATTCGACCACTATATTATCCTGTTCTGTCTGGCTTAATTCAAGCGATATCAGCAAATCATAATCCTTAGCAAACACTAATCATTATTCAACACATTAACAAAATGAATAAAAGCAACCTTCTGGTTTTAGATAAACAGGATTCTTTTGAGCTCCCATTCAGACTACAGTTAGGACATAATCAAACCCTTCTACAAATTTTCATGTGAGTTTTTCTTGCACAATTGCACATTAGACTCATTCTTCTTAAAGCCAGCATTAGATATCTCATCTGCTTATCCACTGAAGCACTTGCAGGAACTATCAAGAGGTTGTCAAGAGGCAGAGGACGTCACAGTCTATAAAGAGGCAAAATATTGCTTCCCTTGCAGATGGCACCCAGTTTTATCTCAGCAAAACACCAGCTTCTAAACAGTGTTGTTAACAAATCTTAGAGACCAACAGCCACATGACTCGGATTTATGCAGATCTGACACAGTCAAAGGCAAATCTGTAGTGAGTCTTGAATTAATTTTGCCTGCCATTGTCAGCCTGGATACAAATATGCTAGTACCTGGTTGCAAATACCTGTCATGAAGTGCCTTCATAACATTCCTCCTTAAATATTCTTAGTACTTTACCTCCATGATATTTTAAAAAATAAGGTGCATAAAATATTAACTAATAATGGCATTGAAAGCATTGAAAATGAACTTAGTGAGAGTTCCAGGAAAAGAAGCCGTCTCCACCTCAGGTGGGCATGCTATAAGTGGTCAGTGCTAGTCAAGTCCTAGCTACAAGTCAAGTCAAGGCTACATGTTATGAATCCTCCAGAACATGTAGGAAAGCAATTGGGAAGCACAGTTTTGGTTTAGGTAGAACTAATGAAGCAGCAGGCAGGAGCTGCTCAGCTTTATTACACTATGCCAGTCAAAATCATCTCCTATCAGCGTTGGTGTCTAGATTCAACTTTAAGTAAATTTTATTTTATTACCCTTAGGGCAAAAGCATATAAAGTGTAGGCAAAATAAATTAATGTTTCAGATCATGCAATGTATGGAAATAGTTGGGGCTTATAACAGAAGCTGTTTTACTGCTTATAGTTTCCACTAAGTCAAAAATTGTCAGAGTTTAAAATGTATCATCCAAAATGATATCCATGAAGGTTGTCTCTACCTCAGCATTTTTCAGAAGTTTTAAAAATCTGCAAATTTCAGCTAGAAGCCTATGAAAAGGAGTAAAATCATTGCAAAAAGAAGAAAATACTTAGTTCCTCACACACAATCCTATGAATATGGAAATTAAAAATAATCTGCACATGCATATACCTTAATATTGAAAGTATGACTGTAAGTCTTAGACAGATTTAGCTAACTAGCTGACTAGCTAAATCTAACTGGATTTAGTTTGATTTAGGCAATAAACACAACAGAGCATTGGATTTACTGTGATCTACTTGCTTTAAGAAAGAGGCAGCATCTTGCTTTCATGCAGTAGTTTACTAATATAAGCTTCTTTATGGTAATCATTCTGCATGTTTTCTTACCTGTTTTCATGATTAATTCAAAACCTGAGCATTCTTAGTTTAAAATGACTATAGTCTAGGCTCATTCATAAGGTCTGAAGTCATTTTGTACAACTTTTTATTTGGAAGATGAAAGGTTGTGAAGATTTACAGTGTTACATACTGCAAGGGTGGCTGTGCTCAGAGCTGGGGCAGCATCTGTTAGCATCTCTAGAAGTGGGGTAAATTATGCCTCCCCTTTCCTGGGCAAATTTGCCTTCACTTTCTGCTACGTAACTACTTGCATTTTAATCACCTGTTTGCTCACGATTGCTTTGTTGGTCAAGAGAGAAGCAAACATTCAAACTGCAGATTTAAAAAATATATATTTTTAATATTTCTGTTTTAGAATTACTCATATTACAGTGAAATGGAGCAATAGGGATAACATTAATAATAATTTTGAAAGTAATATTTTAAATAATGACATACTGAAAATTACATGAAATGACATTGTTTTTCAGTGACATCTCAATAAATCCAGTTCTGGAGAACGGTTGTATTTCATCTTTCTCCCTTTCCTTGGGGAGAAGCTGTTAATGCAAGCTGGATTAATACTGGTTTTCTAAAAGAAACAAGCACTAGATCCTTGTGGTTCCTATCTATTTTAAAAAGACTGTTTTAAGGACAAAGAATAAAGCCTAAATGTAGCTGACAATTTTTCAGATGTGTTCATTTCTGTTTTTCTATTGTCAAAGTTTTACAGAATTAGACGCTTAAATAATAAATATTTTACATTCTTTCTTATGATTTTGAGGAAAGAATATACATTAAAAAAAAATTGCTGAAAGCATGTATTTCATCATGGTAGTAACTACTACCTACAATGACCTTACATTGATCACATTCCAAACTAATTTACTTTTAGTACAACCAGACTGATTATTAAAATAGCAATAGAATCCTGCTCTGGTCATTCCTCTTTGCCTTCTGTGTCTGCTCCTCACTTCACAGCAACATGCGGGAAACACCACATCTGCCTTGCAGCTTTTCAATGGTGTTTTTTTCTTAAAAGCAAGAAGTCTTCTTTTCACAGTCTGAGAGTGTCCAAATTTAAGATATAACATTCTTCGTAATGTCATACGGATGGTATTATCAGCAAATATGTCCATCTCCATTTTTTGGCAGGACATTTTGATTTGGCTTTCTTGAAGAGTGCTGTACCAAGAGCTGGTTGTAACAATAACAGATATGGCATATTATTAAGTCTATATTGCTAGTTATTTTTCCTGTTTGTGTTCCTGTCATTTTTCTATGAGAGAAAAGTCAGTATGTTGCAGCTTTGCCTCACAGCCTCCTGCCAGCCAAAGTGGTTAAACCAGCTGAAGTTCATTGGTTTTGATGAGTGTGATGAGAGCCTGGAACTCCTAAAAGCCACAGAAGTAGAAACTGACAGCAGATGCCACTCAGTGGAGTAGACCATCTCAGCAGATGGGCAAAAATGAAATGTAAAGGCTTTTCCTGACATCATTTTGTTTTAATATGATAGAAATAAAGTGCCTTGTCAGTAAATTATACCCAAAGAGTTGCTTTGTAGTCATTTTGGGGATATGTTTGGTAATTCAGAGTCCTGCTGCCTTTGCAGGATTAATTATTCTGTGCCTTGTTACAGCAGAATACGTATCAGAGCAGCTGAATGTGCCCCACACAGCTGTAGTGAGTGGATCGGAAGTATCTGCTGCTACGTTTGCAATATAACAGTGGTAAAAGATACAAGAAGTTAACTGCATCGGTCATTTCCAGAGTGCTAGTTGATGTATTAGCCAAAATTATGGAGATGAGATGTAATCCCATCTTTGGGTTATTTTTCCCTCTGTACGGGATGTGTGCCACAGAGTGGAAAACCAGATGTGCAGCATTGCGAGCTGAGAGCTGTGATGGGAGCTGCCTCGGGGCGCTGGGGCTGCAAGCAGCGTGTGACATTCCCACTCAAATGTGCAGACTGTTCCCTCATGCAGGTGGTTGGCATCTTTTTAATCGGGCCATTTCTTTTATTACAGCAGTAATGTACCCCAAGTCGCAAAATTTTATCTCCAGCATTTTCCTCATTTGTGTATTTAAACACATATATATGTGTTCTTTATTTATGTGCATTTATATTTTATATAATTTATATTATTTAATATAGTACCTTTTCTATAATATATATTTGTATTTATGTACATGCATATGCACGATTTTCATTGTGACCAAATATACCTACAGCACACACAAGCATAACACACCACATGTACCACTCATAATTCATACCCCTACTGTGAGCAAAGCTGTGTTACACACCCAGCAGCAAAATGATGTGATCAGAGGTGCTGTTTAATTGAGAGCAGCTTCTTTTAATGTGGAAGGTAGCTGCTATCTGCTGCCTGGCCACCTTTGAGTTTCATATTTCAACTTGTCTCTGAAGTAGACATGTTGATCTCTGAAGCACAGCTTAGGATTTATCTGTTTCATTGGTTGTTGAATTTCCTGAGAGAGAATTACTTCATATTTGAGGGGAAAAAATAGTATTTTTAGTGTATTTAATTATCACCCAGGTTGTTTATCAGTTTGGTAGGTTGCATTGTTCAATCCCAGATTTTATTATCTTGACTGTCCCCTTTATTAATTGTTAAGTTTATCATTCATGACAGCACCCAGAGGCACCCTTTTATAAATCAAAAGTAAATATATTACCCTACCTTGCAGGGGTGCCATAGGGCTTAATTAGTTCATTTTTGTAAAGTGTTCTGAGATTCCCAGATCAGCATCAAATGTTTATCATTAATTATAGGCTCTAGTGAGTCTATGGGATGATATCTTAATTTAATTCTCTTTGGGCATCCTTAAAATAACTAATTTTGTAATATCTTTGTTCTTTCAAATTCCTGGAGAACATTTGCCTGTGGCTCAAGTAATTCTGATCTTCCTATCATTTACTATATTTTTATTTCTATTTGTTTTCCTATGTACCAGTACAAAAATCAGTCTTTTACTATTTTCCCTATAAATACTGCTATGTGGATTAAATTCTAACAACAAGGATTTGCTTTAATATTATATGGCGGTGGGTTGTTTTTTTGTTGTTGTTGTTGTTTTGTTTGTTTGTTTGTTTAGTTGGTTGGTTTGGTTTGGTTTTGGTTTTTTTCCTGCAGTGGGGGAGTGTTAAGCAATTTATTTTGCTTCCCTTGGGAAATCTGCAAAGATTACACAGCACGGCTGTGATTTATCATTCCCACTTTATTTCTGACTCATAAAGCATGCATTATTTTGTGTTTACCTGAAGCAACAGATTCCAGGGAATTACATCATCAACCAAAGCACTTTAAAATGCAGAGAACTGATGTTGTGAAAAATGCATAGACAGTAGTGATTGTAATTGGAGGGTCATTTATGGTTTAAATGTATCATAACTCTTATGATTTCATCACCTTTCCTAGGATCAGGTTCGTGCCGCTTTAGTTACTCAGATCCCAGCATCACAGTGTCCTACAGCAAGAACAGCTCTGCAGATTGGACTCAGCTGGAGAGAATTAGGTTTGTTACAGCTTTTTAATCACTTTCATGCTTTCTGGATGAGCAGGTGTTGATTAAGCTTCAATCTTTTATAACTTTTTTGATTGCTAACTTTTAAGTTCTCACTTGTTTAGGCATATTAAAAGCTGAGGAATGAAATTATGGCCACTAATACTAATTGCAGAACTGCCACTGCTTTTGGCAAATCACAGTTCCATCTACCTCCTGTGTGGGAGGTCAGGAAGATAATGACTTCAGAGTTAAAATGCAGCTCCAGTAACCAAAAGGCTCAGTCTGTGCTGTAGGCTTGTGTTTCTGGCTCTCACTAATGGCCACGCCAAAACTTGCTGAAGTGAGGAGGTGAATGCTGGGGTGGGTAACACAATGTTTTATGTCAAGAGCGGATTGACTGTTAAATCATCAGACTGTTTTTACATCAAAGGTTAGTGAATGCAGTGACATCCTTAAGAACAAACCATGAGTTGATTAAAGCAAAAAATAAAGTTATTTTCATAGCCACAGACACATCAGTCTGCATTATGCACCAAACACTGGGATACAGGTGTTGTGCTCTCCTTGTGATTACTTCATTCCAAACTAACACCTCAATGGCTTTTGCATTTCAGCATCATTTTTAATCTCAGCAGTAACAATAATGTGTATTGTTGCAAGTTTCTACTTTGGTAGGATAAAATGATCCATAAAAATATCATATAGTTTGATGTGAACGTTTGGCTCCTAACAAGATATGTTGAATTATGCCTTGTTTTTTAATAAACTGATTTACATGAAAGCACCAAGGATTACAAATGAAAATCTTATAATCTTTTCTTATGGGGCTCTTCAGCCTGGAGAAAAGACTCTAGGGAGAAAGACCTGAGAGCTGTCTTTCCACATCTAATGGAAGGTATGAGAAAGAAGGGGACAGACTCTTTAGCAGGGTCTGTGATAAGACAAGGGAAAATGGCTTCAAACTAAAAAAGAGGAGATTTCAACTGGGTATAAAGAAGAAGTTTTTTACCATAAGAGTAGTAAAGTATTGAACAGGTAGCCCTGTGGTGGATGCCCTCTCCCTGGAGACATTCAAGGTCAGGTTAGAGGGGATTCTGAGCACCCTGATCTAGTTGTAGATCCCCTGATCATTGCAGGGGAGTTGAAATAGATGGCCTTTAAGTGTCTCTTCCAATTCAAATGATTCCACCACTCTACTGTAATGGACCAAACACAAGCCTTTGAAACCCCAAATTTGTGAAGTTAATGCCTGTGTTGTTTGAATGCTGTTGCTTTAACTCTGACAGCTGGAGCTTGCAGCTGAAAATAGGTCAATAGAGCAATGTCGTGCAAAGTAGAGAGGAGGATGAATTATGAAAGGATGCTCATCTCTCCTGTGGTTCCTATGAGTTATAGTGGTTATGTGAATGTGCTTCAGCAGCTTTCTCTCCACTGCAGGCAGCTCCAGGGAGCAGAGAAATGGGGCAGGGTGGAACAGAGATGCTGATGGTCAGTGCGCTGTGCAGGGACAGTGCCATGGTGCTGTGCTGAGTGTGCCATGTTGGTGTGGTTTCAGCACAGGCAGGGAAGGATGTCTCTTGGGCAAGGTGGGTGCAGGGAGTGAATGGTCCCAAAGGCTTGGGGAGATGTGGCACATGAACTGTGACTTCCTTATCATTTCCTTTTTGCCATACCTGCAAAATACCAGACACTAGCCAGTCACCTTGGAAGTGTGACCAGCATCAGGAATGAATTCTGCCATGCTGCTTCTGCTCTCCCAACATCTCATTGATCTGTTCCTCACAGCCCCAGCCTGCAAGGTCTCTGCAGTGGAGCTGCCTTTGTTTGATCTGTACATACACTACTGAGGACAGTGGGACTCTGCCTCAGGGCAGATATTTTCTAATCTCTTTATAAGATTTACCATCATATGAGTGATATAAGCATAGCTGTATCACACTTAGTAAACATGTTAAATGAGTGAAAAGCATTCCTGGTTATGGCTTATGTTTGGTCTAATTCCATATCACTGTTTTTCAGTGCTCCTTCCAACGTCAGCACGATCATACACATCTTGTACCTTCCTGAGGATGCTAAAGGGGAGAATGTCCATTTTCAGTGGAAACAGGATTATCTTCATGCTGGAGAAGTGTATGAAGCCTGTTGGGCATTGGACAACATCCTGATCATCAATGCTGCTCACAGAAAAGTTGTGTTAGAAGATAATCTTGATCCTGTGGATACTGGCAACTGGCTTTTCTTTCCTGGAGCCACAGTGAAGGTTAGTTTGAAATAAATAAATAAATATTTGTAATGGTTTAATTTCATTATTATTATTTATGTGTATTATTATTTATTCCAACTCAGAATATTATATGATTATGATCTAAAACTTAAGGACAGTCAGGCCCCTCCATCTGTTTGCAGAATTGGGTTGTTACTCTGTTTTTACCTATTTCCTGTCCCACTGGGGCTTCCTAAAACAATGCAACTTTTCTGCCATTACCAAAAGCAGGTGACAGTTTGTAACTACTGCCATGTCAAAGATCATGCAACAGAAAATGGGAAATGGCTTCCTTTTAGGAAAACAGAACAATATTTTTGAAACAAATTCAAGTCAGGTATTTTGAAATCTACCTGGTAATTTATCTGTGTTGTTCAGTACCACTACTTGATGTTATTCAGCACTCTTTGTCACAAGCCATCATAAAAAGCTCTGCTTTCCTCTTTTTCTGTGAATATCACCTCTGCTGCAGCACACATTCAGGTAGTGAGAGCTTCTTAAAAGTCTCTGTTGCGTTGAGACCCTGATCTGATAAATGGGATTTAGCAAGGTCACACTACCTTTGGAAAAGCCCTAAGGAGACTTGCAAGATCTCTGTGCATACAGTTGCTCCAAATGTGGAGTTCTTCTATATCCTAAAACCAGTTGTATCCTTGCTTTTTATGTTTCCAAGCAAACAGAAATTGAACAGTTGATGACATTCAGTTTTCATCCTATTTTTCATTCACAAAAAAGGGCAGCTTTGTTGTCAGAGTTCATTTATGAAGCTGATAGTTGTTTTGGCAGTCACACAGGAAACAGGTGTCATGTTCTCAGGGCAGAATAATTTTGACTGTGGCTTCAGCCTTTTCCCACAGAATCTGGCCTAAGGTTAATCTTCTTAGAAATAATCTCACTAGTTTACTCATAGTACCAGCGTATCAATTTTTTAAAGACCATTTGAACTACAATGACAACTTTTTTTCATGAGATTTTAGATCAAATAATGTACTGATTATTTAATGATTTTCTATGATCTTTTCATGTTTGTTCTGATGTCCATCTTACCTATGGATTTCAAAATCCAGTCCACAAGTGAGAAGGTATGAGAACAAAGCAATGATTAATATGCCATAGGCACAGTCACATCTTTCAAAATGGCAAAGCCCAACATCACTTGCTGCTTCTAAAACATGCACAAACAGCATCTATACTTCATCAAGTAAATATCTCTTAGTTTGGATTGGTTTGGTTGTTTAATTAAAAACCAATTTGGTGTCAGTACTCAAGTGTGGTCACTTGAAAGATGAGGGGCTTGAACATTGAGATTAGGTAGTTCTCCTGGACAGAAATATCTTTGAAACTCCAACCTTGTGTGAGATAAAAGCAAGGATTCACAAACCTGCCATTCCTCCAAGGCTGTCTTCTGTTCTAGGGAAAACTGGAATGTGTTTTCTAAATGTGTTTCTATTCCTACAACATTCTGCTATGCTGAACTCCATTCCAAGCTAATGAGATCTTTCTCTAACATTCAGGACTGTTTATGCCATACACGTTTCAATTCCTGTCCTCTGTAAATTAGTATTTCACACAAATTGTCTTTCTTGACTTCTTTTGATGCTTTTCCTTGCAAGTTTCCCTGACAGTGCTAACAAATAGTCACATTTCTGGATGTTATTTTTTGTCTGACTCGGTTTTAACTGATGCATACAAAACTGTGGGGCATAAGCTCCTTTCCAAAGTTGTGCTATAAAGTAATGTCATTAAACCAAGGAAATTTTTCAGAAAAACATAAAGAAACAAGAAAAAAATAATCTTTTTCTTTCTTTCTTTCTTTCTTTTTTTTAAACTGGGTTTATTTTCTACATTTATCCTCACTTGCTCACCACCTCTCAGCACAGAGAGTGATTGACATTTTACTTTTGGACTATTCCAGTAGGCATTGTTCAGACAGTGCAGACTTCTGCTTGGAGAGTCAGGACAGTGAATGAAGCAAGCAAGGGATCTTTCGCACCTTAGCTGGTATAACACTCCCATGCTTGGTTTTGGCTTGTGCTGTCTCCCAGATGTTATCTTCAAGGAATACACAGGCATGGATGGGCCGAGATCTGTTTCCAGTAAGCAGAAGGAATGACTCCACTCTGCAGGGAGGAAAAAGTTTACCCAGCAGGATGCAAACTCTGCTGTGTCATTTGTTGTCAAGGCCTGAGAATGGTCCTTGGACTAATTTGGTTGCTGTCACAACCCCAGCATGTTAAAACTGCCCACCTCATCAGTCCCTTCAACCATCCCAAATCTTTTCAGACAGTTCTCATTGTGTTCCATTTTATTGCCTTAGTGGATTTTTGTTAAGCACTTTATTCATAAGGATAGGCATTTAGATAAAGTTTGCTGTAGTTTACAATAAATGTTGTTGCTGCTCACATACAAGCTCATGTTGGATGCTTATCAAGCTACAAATAAAGTATATTCTTTTCTGCAGGAATTTTTCTTTGGTAGACTTGAGGTCTAATAAAATTAATAGCAAACTGTATAATTCTATGATCTCTGCTGGTAAAAGTACTCTAATTCATAGTTGCTCAGACAAAATAAAAAGGCATTGAAATGAAGAAATGTGATATCATGAAGGCTACTATGTAGGTCCTGATTTAGGTTCTCTGGTGGATTCAGTCCCTGGAGAGGACAGTGTAGTTAAGCACTGATATGCTCACTCCACTTTGGTGGAATCAGGCTCATCTCCTCGATGAGCACTTGTGGGAACTTGCCTATGTCCAGTAAGAAGTGGTTCCTCTTCCTTCTCTAATCTTTTGAAGCTTGTCAGAATTTTTGTTTTGTTTTGTTTCTTGCTGCGCTCAGGAATGGCTGTTGCTTGTTTGAAAGCACATGGCTGGTTGCAGACGCAGCTGGAGCTGGCTATTGAGATAGGAGGCAAGCTGAGAGATAAGCCACCAAATTTGTGTGTTTCAGTTCCAAAGAAGACAGCAAAAGACAAAAAAAAAAATGCTGTTAGCAAGGCCAAACGCCCCTTAGGAGATTAATTGGATCCACTGGAATGTATTTATCTGTGTTGGACTGTAAGGAAGGGTGTTGAACAGGATAAATTCCTGACTGCATTTCAATATCTGCAGTGACAGCTCTGAGTGTGAGCATGGTGTTGCAAGTAAGCATGGCTAGTGTATGACACTGGTGGCCAAGTCTGCTAAACACACAAAGCACTGCTGTGCTCTGGGCGCTGTTAAAGGTCTGTGGGCCCCAACACCCCACAGCTAATCAGGAGGAGAGATGAAACCTTCCTTCAGTATTGCTTCTTGGATCTTTACTTCTAAAGAGCAGAGAGCAATCTCATCTTTCACTGGATGCTTCGTATATTTTGTAGATTTGACCATAAATTACTGTTGTCTTTTGAGGTTACCTTCTGCCAGGTTTTCTTGTTTTCTCTGATTGTTTTGGTCTAAGTTTGAATGTGCAAGCTCAAAAGCTAAAGCTGAGATGGGAGCCATCTTCAGTAGTCTTATAGTTCAAGTTGATTTCAGCCCAGACAGTAGTATCTGAGATGTGTGGTTCACCATCACGGACATTTCCAATAAATCCTGAAAACATCCCAGTGCCAGAATCCTCATAACGTCAGCTTCTGTTATAAAAGATGTGCTGAGGTTTGTAAACTCATCTTTTTTTTTTTCTTGTTTTTTTTTTCTTTTTCTTTTTTAAATGATCCTCAAGTGGATTCCAAGTGTGTTTTGTCTCCAAGGCACCCAAGTCAGCATGATCCTGTTTTAGCTATGTTGCCTCACTTTTCAATATATTGATACCATGCAGTCATGCCTACTTGTGATAGTTAAGCAGCAGGTCATTACAACTCATTTCAGTTTCTCAGAAACACGACAGAACTTAGCAGAAGAGGAAGCTTATAAAGAAAAGAGTAGCAGAACTCAACATTCACTTTCAGAAAATACTCTGAAAATGTGTCCATAAAACTTTGTGACCTTTCACCATACCCTGAGCACACCAGGGCTATGAACATCCTAGACCTGTGAGTCCTTCCTGAACATGTGTTGCTGAGGGTGACTGAGCACAGGAGACATATGGGCAGGCCTAGGAGTTTGGCAAAAAGAAATGTTGATTAAGCTATTCCAAACCTCCAGTTCCAGAGCAGATTTCCAAACTTCTGAATACTCTGTTAATTAATAGGAATGGCACTGGATGGTCTTTTTTCAAAACAAGTATCTTAATATTTCTATATATTTTTGTTGGTTTTAATTGCTTGTACTGAAATGAACTGTTTTTTCCTCTTTTGATTTATCTTGTTCTTGAGGAACTTATTGTCTGAAGCAGATGGAGAGTATTTGTCTGCAGAAAGAAGGGTGATTGTCTAGCTATGCCAGTGTGAAAATGACAAATGGAAATTGCTGTACCTCTATACTGGGCAAAGGTACATGAATCTAGTTGTTTCTGACAAGACTCTTCTTTTTGAGTAAGATATAGCAAGGCACGTTTTGGTTTGTGGGCCAAACCCAGCCTTCTAGCCAGCTGCTTTGCCTCACAGGAGCCACTTACCTGCCACATCTTCCTGGGAAGAGACGAGCTGGCTTCCAGCTGCACCTCAGCTCTGAGCCTTTCCTGCTTCTCTGCAGGTGGGTGGAGAAGGGAGGAGAGGTGAATACAGCAGAGTAGGGTGCAGAAAACCTGTCCACTGACTCCCTTTAGTGAGAATGTGATCACTACATAAGGAGACATCTTAACATCAGTAGGACTGGACTTAGACCATGCATGGAATTGCTCTTGTTTTGTTGGTATTTTTTTTTTGTTTGCTTTTTTGTTTGTTTCTTTTTAATAATCACTGTTTTAATTAAAATAGTAATAACTCAGATTCAATGGCTTGGAGTTCCTTGGAACTTGGTTTGACGGTTGTGTTGTGTTGTTTGGGTCTGCTGAGCAGAGCTGTGGGCAGCAATGCTGAGCAGGCAGTTTTTTGCATGCCAGTTCCCTGTGGCTCAGAAGTGTGGTATAGCGTGGCAGGG